GCCCGCCTCTGCGTTGTGCTGCCATAGCAAGTGAAAGGCTCCTTAGCCAGGAGCAGTGTGCTCGAGCCCGAGCTCCTGAGCTCTCCTGCTCTCTGAACGCACCCCTCATAGCTTCCAAAATCATAGAATCACAGACTGCTTTGGGTCGGAAGGGACCTCAAAGATATCCAGTTCCAACCCCCCTGCCATGGGCAGGGACACCCTCCACTACACCAGGTTGCCCAAAGCCTCATCCAACCTGGCCTGGAACACTGCCAGGGATGGGGCAGCCACAGCTTCTCTGGGCAACCTGTGCCAGTGCCTCACCACCCTCAGAGGGAAGAATTTCTTCCTTAGATCTCATCGAAATCTCCCCTCTTTCAGTTTAAAGCCATTGCCCTGTGTCCTATCAGTGCTCCCCCTGGGTCAATTGTTTGTGGTCGGGTGGTGATTGTGTCGCTTCCTGTGCCTCTGGTGGGGATCTCGCACAGGGTAGATGCTGGCAGTCAGCCTGCCACTCCCTCCCGTCTTTGTCACCAGTAGATGTAGAATTTGGTTACCCTGAGGAAATGGAGTAACTGGCTCTCTGTGGGGCACCACTGAGTGCCCCGCAAACCGGCAGCTGTGAATTGTTGCAGATTGCACCTTTGATAAAGAGGCAGAGCTCACCCCGCTGGAGTCGGCCATCGGTATCCTGGAGCTCATTGAGAAGGAATTCTCTGTGGCTGAGAAGACAATGGAAACTGTTCAGAAGATGGTGAAGGAAGCTGTAAGAGCCTTTTCTTTTTCAATAAATACTGTGCTCGCCTTTTGCCTGAGAAAGGTCGTGCGTAAATGCCAGTGGGAATTGCCCCGTGTGTGGAACGCTGTAGTTAGTACTGACTTGGCTGCAGACACACATCTGCAGTGGATGTATGTGCTGCTTCATCGGTTAACGTAGAATTTTTTCTCTGTGAGTTGGCACTAAGCTGTCACCCGTGTGCCATGTCTGATTATTATACTTGCTTTTCCGTCACCTAGAGAGTAGTGCATTCGATAGCAGCAGAGAAACTGGTGTTTGTTTTCTTTTGTAGGCCGTTATTGTCTGCATCAAAAACAGAGAGTTCGAAAAAGCTTCCAGAATTGTCAAGAGGCACATGGGGAAGGAGCCCAGAAGCCAGGTGAGAGCACCAGGATGAAAGGTGGCTGCTTGAGGACTCTGCGGTGTGGGGTGTGAGGCAGTGGGGATGTTTGGGGTGGTCTGGTACGTCCCGTGGGGTGTTGGCTGCGGAGGGGGAGCAGGCATAGCAGGTTTCCCTGAGAAGCGTGCCTCTGGGAGAAGCCTGAACAAGAAGAAAGGGAAAGGGTGCCGCAGTGGAAAGCATCCTCCTGGAACGATGGCCCCTCAGTGTTACGTTTCTACAGCACGTTGATCGTCACTTTGGCGCTCCCCCTGTTACTTATGTAAATTTTTTACTATGAGAGTGGTAGAACACTGGAACAGGTTGCCCAGAGAGGTGGTGGATGCTCCATCCCTGGAGACGTTCAAGGCCAGGTTGGACAAGGCCCTGAGCAACCTGATCTAGTTGGAGATATCGGGTCCTCCAGGCATCGACGTTCATCCTTCCCCTCGAGGAGGCTCAAGTGTGCGTGTAGAGCGCGAGTTCCTGAGAAGGGCTGGTTCTGAAGGCAGAAGGGGTCCCCGTTCCTGTTTCTGTAGGCAGGGTAGTGTCTGGGGCACTGGAAGCAAAATGAGTTGCTGAAACAAGGTGGCTCTCCTGTTCCTCTGGCCTTTCCCAGCCTTATGGCTGGGCCTGGAGAACGCCAAATGGGAAAGGCCCAGTCCTCACCCAGCGCCCAGGTCCTGCCGTTGTCATTTATACCCTTGTATCTGTTGAGAATATTCTTACCGCTCCTCTAGAAAAAGAAGAATGAGTTGCTGGCTGTCATCCGGGAGAAGAACTCCACTCATCCAGTGGTCAAAAACTTCTCTTACAAGAACTTCCAGCAGAGCGTGTTTCAGTTCCTGAAGACCTACGTGGACAACTCGGAGCCGCTGCTGGTCACGGTACGTGTCCGCCCTGCTTGCCCGGCACGGGGCAGCAAGGAAATGGCATGAGGTGCAGGGCTGGGGAGAACTTGCAGTCTTCCAGTACTTAAAGGTGGCCTACAGGAAAGCTGGAGAGGGGCTTTGGACAAGAGTGTGTAGTGACAGGACACGGGGCAATGGCTTTAAACTGAAAAAGGGGAGATTTAAATTGGATATAAGAAAAAAAATTTTCACTCTGAGGGTGGTGAGGCACTGGCACAGGTTGCCCAGAGAAGCTGTGGCTGCCCCATCCCTGGAAGTGTTCCAGGCCAGGTTGGATGGGGCTTTGGGCAACCTGGTGTAGTGGAGGGTGTCCCTGCCCATTGCAGGGGGGTTGGAACTGGATGATCTTTGATGCCCCTTCCAACCCAAACCATTCCATGATTCTATGAACTGACACTTACTGCACCACGGGGCAGTGAAACACAGTAATTTGGCTTCTACGTGCCCTCTGTGCCAGTAATGAGTCAGGGTTTAGGCCCCTAATTAACAGCAGGATGAGTTCAAAACACTTGAGATTGAGTCCGTTCCTAAAGGAAAAGCTTTACCCAGTTGCACAAGTTTTTCAGACCGTGCAGACACGAGCTCTGCACGTGGTGCCGATTGACCTGCACGTAGCAGCTCACAACGCCTTTGGGAGGGGATGAAATGGGATGGTAGAAATGGGGAATCATCTTTGTCATGGTCCTGTGCTTTTTCTGTCCAAGATAATGAAAAAGACTTTGAATTCAGAATGTGCCGAAGAACCGAGGTGCTCGTCGGTGACTCCCGAGTCTGCAGATGTGCCCAAGGAGCAGGCAGCGGCTCTGGAGCCCTCGGGCAGGGCAGAGGAGCCAGCAGCAGCTCCAGGGCCTGCAGAGACAGCAGAAGGCCTGGAGGGAGCTCCTGACCCTGCAGGGAAGGCAGGTGCCGCTGCAGCAGCTCCTGAGCCTGTGGAAGGAGCTCCTGACCCAGCAGCAACTCCTGAGCATCTCACAGCAGCAATTAATGACGTGGAAGATGTTTTGGAGCCCATGGAAATATCTAAAGAACCAGCAGCAGCTCCAGAACTTCCAGGAGTGTCCTTCAGGGAGTCAGAAAGGTGGGCAGAGGACTCTGGCCCTGCGTTGTGGATGAAGCCTGGCAGCAGTTCGCTTCCAAGGGGTAGTTTGCTGTATCCAGGTGGCTCTTAGCTTCCCCACGTGCCAGCCTGGGCAGGTCTGCCCAGCCAGCCCAAAGGCTCTTGGTGTCAGACTTGTCTGGATCACAGTAAAAACGTTGGGTGGTTTTTTTCTGAAGAGACACAGCACTCTTGTGAACCAGGAAGGGCGGGCAGTGGCTGCTCTGGTGGAGCAGCACTTGTATCCCATCCCTGTGGTTCAGGCTTTGGTAGAAAATAGCGGGGCATCCAGTGGAGCATGGGCACGTGCTCCCCACACCTGCTGCCCTGGCACTCCGCACTGCTCGGAAGGGTGGGGAGTGCCCCCTGGAATAGATGTTGTTTGCACCCGGGGTCGGTTGTGGAGGGTCGCGCCGCAGGGAAGAGCCCGGTTTCGGTGAGGCGGAGCCACCGCGGCGGTGCCTTTCCAACCTGCTCGGTTCTCTTTGTTTTGTAGGCAGCCCCCTGGAACGGTAACTGCGTGTGGGATTTCTGTTCTGAGAGAAGCCTTCAAGATCCTGTCGGACTCCCAGGATTCCGATGCACTCTTCACCAAACTGGACGAAACAGACTTTTCTTTCCCCAAGCAACTGTCTCCTTCTGTATCCCACAGAACCAAGAGACGGAAGGACGCGGAGAACCAAGACTCTGAGATCTCAGACCCTCCTGAAATACCCCATAAGGGCAAACGCTTGCTGACCATAAGCAAACTGGTCATGGAGCAAGACAGCCAGTACAGCGAGGCGAGCGAGAGCCCAGACTCTTCCCAGGAGCCAGTTGTATCTTCTGCTTCCAGACCTGTTCAGAAATTGCATGACCAGCCTGTGTCTACCAAGAGTGCCAAGTACGAAGCCCGTCTCTTGTGGTATTGTCTAACCTGCACCCAGCCTTTTGACTTGCAGCCGCCCTCGGGAGCACGAACGACAAAACCCGGTCTCTTGAGCTCGCAATGCGCGCGCGTTGGCCGCCCTCCTCTGCTCACCTGTGTGGGACTGGGCAGGGAAACGCTCCGTTGTCCTCACACCGCACCGTTTGGCTAACGGGGAGGAGAACAGTGGTGGGCTCCCCCTGGCAGCCAGTCAGAGGTGCTGCAGGGGGTCATGGTGGGTGATGCCAGCGCGCACGTCGCAGGAACGTGTGTTTCTCTGTGCGCCGGTTAGTGATGCCGCAGCTGGAGGGAGTTTGTAGGTGCCTCTTGCGGAACAGGTTGGACTTTCTTTGTCCACCTCTGCAGAAATACCACCCCGAGCTCGCAGAAGTGCTTTCTTGCCCAAAACCTGGTTGTAGCTTTCTGATTCCTGAATAGGAGTCCTCACCTTGCAGCTGAGGTGGCTGCACTGGAGGAGGTAGAGGTGTGTTAGGGCTTTTTCCGTTTTATAAGGGTTTCCCACAGGAAACAGTGAAGTAGTCTGACCAGCAGGAGTCTGGAATGAACGCTCCTGTGAGACCCTAAGCCAGAGTGTCGTGAGTATCTCCTGCAGGCCGTAACGGGTGTAACAGAGCTTCCTGTTTAAACGTCCAGGTTGCTCTTTTGCTTAGTGGTGTTGCACAGCAGCCAGCAGTACGGATGTTTTGGATCCCCAGTGAAACTGGGAGGGCTGAGGAGAGCTCCATGTCTCTGCAGAGACAACTAGAACACAATTTCCCGCAGTTCCTGCCTTAAGGACGTTTAGGGACATGAAGGTTGGTTTTTGAAGTGCGGGCAGTGAAGGTGTCAGTGCTCCGTGTCGCTTGGCCATTCGGAGGTGGATTGTCTTTCCGTGGAGCAGAGGAGAGTGGCTGCAAGTGGAGACGTGCCGTGGTGCAGCTGGCACCCGTGCAGGCGGTGGTGAAACCCCTCAGATGCCTGGCTGGTGTGTCTTGTGCAGGACTAAGTTCATTGTTGGAGGTGATGCTGAGAAGGGATTCTACACTCACTCCACACCCCACCCTGTGTTGTCCACTTCCTTGAGCCACCTGGGAGTTTCACTTAATAAATTTCCTACTTTTCCAAGCGCGTGGTGCTTGATCGCTTCCACTTTTTCCCAGCAGTACGTTGCAGCTGACGTTGCTGTCCCTAGGATATGCCTGGAGTTTATTTTGAGGGTGCTGGGGAATGTTGTGGAGATAAGATGATGTTTTGTGATCTCCGCCAGAGCAGAGTGCTGTGGCTGACTGGCCTGGGAAGGGGCTGGGCCCAATCCCTGGGGGGCGATGCCTTCCCACCCTGGGCCGGGAGCCTAAAGCCAGGGTTGGTGCTGGGTCGGGAGGGAGCCCGGAGCGGGGCGGGCTGTGCTCCTGTTCCACCCCTGCCACTGTGCACGTGGGTTTCCCGTTCGCTGGGCAGTGGTTTATCGTCTGTGCTGCTCGCGCGGATGTCTTGTCGTGAAGCCGTGCGGTGGGAGCGGTGGTGCTAACGGCACCTGTCTGGGAATCTGATCCTGTGCATCCGGAGATGGACACTCAGCAGTGTGACCTCGAGTAAGAGCAGAGAACAGTTGTTCTCCTGTAATCGTGAACGGCCTCAGTTGCAGTGGATGTGACAGCCAGGGCTGAACCTTTTGAAGTTGGTTGTTTTTTTTTTTGAACAGACTTAATTTCATCTCACAAGTCTGTGCTTGAGGATGGGAAGCAGGTGACAGCATCGAGGCATTGGGTCTCGCAGTCCATAGCTCGGTTGGCCTCAGCGGTGTTAGTGGTGGAACAGTAGGAACTAAATCCTTCTTGGGAAGACTCGAGGCTTCTGGCCCGAGCAGCTGCCAAGTCTGTGCCGTGCACCAAGGCCTGGGAAGTCCAGCTGAGTGTGTGTTTGCTGTAGGTGCGTAATGGCGTGGTTAGTACCCAGTCACTTGTTTTTGCAAATGCTGGCTACAAAATACAACACTCCACTCATGTCAGAGCGTATACGGCACGCCGTGCCTTCGGATAGGGGCTCCTAAGGATTCACCCCCTTTGGAGTGGAGCCGAGGAGGTCAGGGTGTTTATCTGTTGCTTTGTGGGTGCGTTTCTCTGCGCTGCACGCTGGTCACAACTTGCCTGCCGTGCTCCAGGAGGCCCTGCGCCTTCTCCCCCTAAAACGCGCTCGCTAGCCAGTAGCCAAGGTAAATGCTTGCCTGCTTGCAGGTCCTTCCAGAGAAGGTGGAACAGTTCGTACGGGAAAGAAGAAAAAGACAGCTGGAGTGAGGAGGATGAACTCTTCTCGGATGCGGGTAAGAACAGAGCCCCTGGTGCCGGCGTTAGCCGATGGTAGTCCGGGCTGCGGGGCTCAGCCGTGGGTGTCGCGCTGCCTTCTGCGTCCCCGACCTTCGAAACCAGGAATCCCGAAGGCCCAGGCAGATGGGTGACTGTCCAGCTCTGAGGTGTTTGCTCTTTGTACCCCTGACCTGGAATGCCAACGACTCCCGTTTGAGTTTTGAGCTAATCAGGCTTAGCTTACAGGATGTAAGTATTGGAAATGCAGCTCTTTTCCCTGTTCCCACTTCAGAGCTGTGGAATAAAGGCTAAGTGACTTTTTCAGCCAGTCCAGTTTTCCAGTCCAGTTCCCTCTGCAGCTAGATACGTAGCTTAGCCAGTGAAAAGGTCTGGACAATGGATGTCTAATTCCAGCCTCAACATGCAGTGTAGCTGCATCCTGGGTGATGCCCCTGTTCGTGATGTGTTGGCTGGTTTGAAACAAAGCAGATCTTACTGGGAAGCTGTTGCGTAAAGCAACTGGGGCTTGAAACTGAAAGGCTGTGCCTGTTATAGCTGCAGAAAGGGAGAGGGACAGGACTTTGGTTTCATGGCCTGTCGCGGGGTGTTCTGGTCGTGGGCTGGCTGTGTGGTTCGGCCCAGGGCAGCCTCCCGAGGTCTGCACCTCCAGCCACGGTGAAACGTCATCCTCCTGCCTTGTTTTTCAGCATCGTTGGAGACAAACAGCCACAATTCCACCGTCTTCGGTTCCAAGAAACAGGTAATGTGGAGCCCTTAAGTCTTTCAGTAGCGTTAGCTTGGGAGGTGGTGCTTCCCAAGGCTGGTGCCCACAGCACCCCGGCTCGATCCGCGTTGTGCCAGCCCTGGCGCTCACAGAGCTGGCTGCAGTTTCTCTGCTGAAACAGCCCAGTTTGGGAGCTGGCTGCAGCCTGCGCCTCCCGTGTGCGCATGACGTGCCGTTTCCTCGGTGCGTGTGGCTCAGAGACGGTTTGCCGAGTTCCCCACGCGCTGGAGAGGTCCCACGTCATGTCGGGGTGAGGGACGGCGCAGCTGGTGCCTGGGAAGAGGTCCCGAGTTGGTGCTGGGAGGAACTCTCTCACCCCTGTAGGATGGCAGCTGCTGGCTCGCTTGGTTCCCAGTAGCTGCTTGCTGCAATTATTTTGCCTCCAGTACAAAAATTCAGGGGACCCACATAGCTGAACCTGCGGATTGTCTTTCTTGACGCTCTCCCCATAGCTGCTGGGCAGGGCCAAGGCAGTGAGTACTCTGAGCCTCGCTGTTGCATCCAGAGGTAATTCCTCTTTTACGTGATCAGTGTTTGGGAAGCGGAATTGCTCCTGAGCTCACGCTGGAGCTGAGCACTTCTCGTAACTCTTACAAATAAGAGCACAGCTACAGCGAGGTGATTGCTGAGCGGTGTGTGTGCTGTTGACAGGACACCTCTGCCCTTCCTCCGTGCTCCTAGCACAGGTGGTAAGGGAAGCTGGTGTGCCAGGAGGGAGCTGGTGCGTGGTTCTCTGCCAAGGGCACCTCCTCCCTGAGGCTGTGCTCATGGAACACTGCTTCCCTGCTCTTTCCTAGAAATGGACAATACAGGAGAGCGAGTGGATCAAAGAGGGCGTGAAGAAGTTTGGAGAAGGAAGATGGAAGGCCATTTGCCAGAAATACCCCTTCCAGAACCGCACGGCAGTGATGATCAAGGATCGCTGGCGGACCATGAAGAAGCTGGGAATCCTCTGAAGCTGGGAGCCACGGGACCTTCAGTGCAAAAGCCTGATTTTTTTCTTTGGAAAGCTGGACTGGAGCTCTTGTCACGGGGAGGCTGCTGCACTCGTCCCTGCTGCGTGTTGGGCCGGCGCAGCGAGCCCCGCTGGCTCGTGGTGCCTGCGACTGCTGCAGCAGATGGAAACTGTCTGCCCGGAGCCGCGGAGCCCCGTGTGTCGAGGTGGAGCTGCGAGGGTTGGGTCTGCTGCAGCTGGGAGACGG